CCCCAAAACCCCAAAACCCCAAAACCCCAAAACCCCAAATAAGAATTCATAAATTGATGTAAGTAATTCTAACTAAATATTGACTAAGATTCATTATTCTTCAAGCTGAAGAAGATCTCCAACATACAGTTCAGACGGGTCAGCATATTTAGATTTGTCCAAGTCATCGAACCACGGATGCATTAAGGCCTCATGAGCTTCAATCCTTGAGTAAGGACATGGGTCTAGTAATCTTCTGAGAAGATCAGCTCCTTTCTCACTAAGTCTATTGAAGAATTTAGATAGATCAACACCTTGGAATTTTGGGAATGAAGGTTTGAACCATCTTAACTTAGTGACTCCAGGCCAGATGTATCCATTTTTCTGGAATTCTCCTTCTTCTTTAGGAAAGCCTAGAATGGAAAAGATCTTCATTATCATTCCAATCTCAGAGTCTCCTGGAAACAAAGTAGTAAGGTGACTTAGTTCATACATTATGCATCCTATTGACCAAATATCGACTCCAGTACAATATTCAGCTTCTCCAAGCAATAGTTCCGGAGCTCTGTACCAAAGAGATATTACTTCTCTTGTATATAACGTTACAGGTAAGTTAAAAGTTCTAGCAAGTCCAAAGTCAGCAATTTTGATAGTATCATCGTCTGTAATTAAGATATTGTTAGGCTTTAAGTCTCGATGAATTACCATTTGAGAATGACAGTAAGCAGTTCCAAGTAAGATTTGATACATCCATGTTTTGATAGTTTCTTCTGAGAAGAACTCACCTTCTTTGAGCTTATCGACTCTATCCTTCAAATCCCCATCTGCATACTCAAAGATGATAGAGAATTTCTTGAAGCCTTGGTTGAGTACACCGACTTGGTTGACAACATTGGGATGCTTCAGATTCTTTAAGACTGCAATCTCTCTTAAGGCTGTAGCAGGGATTCCTTCAAATCCTCTGCTTATTTTTATATCCTTTATAGCATAGACATTATCTGTCTGTTTCTCTCTACATTTAGAGACAACTCCATATGTCCCTTGTCCAAGAACTTTAATCTTCTCAAAGTCCTCATACGCATACTTCTTTTGCCTTTTTGGTTCCATAAATATTATTTTTTGTAGCTTATTGGGGTTTTGGGGTTTTGGGGTTTTGGGGTTTTGGGGTTTTGGGG